CCTGCTGTATAAACCTAGAAAGGTTGTTCTTGTCTTGAGGATCACATTATTAGTTCTGGCATTTTCCAGACATTGGAAAGATCCACTTTGAAGGTGAGGTTGAATAAGCTGGACTGTTCAAAGAGCTGATGTTGAAAGGAGCAATCACATTCCCCCTTCTTCCTCTGGTTTCTGGCAGCATGCTCCTGTCTTCCACCCCTTGTGCTGGCTTTGGTGTTTCTGATCTTTTTAGACCTGGCTCCATTAGGGAGTCAACTCAGACAACTAAGCTAGCAGAAAACTAGATCAGGAAACAAGAAAACCTAATGAACATCCCAAGCAGCCCCTGTACTTACTTGCAATGTTTTCTTTGTGCTCTTTCCTGAAGGTGGAGCTGTGGATGAAGTTAGCATAACTCCTGCTGCCACCAAGAGGTGGAGGTGCTGTGGTCGTCTTCAGCATCTTTCTTCTCTTTTCCAGCTTGCCTTCTGGCCAGCTTTCTTAGGCTGGCGTGGATTTCTGCTGTTCTAGAGAGTTCAGGTGGCTTACAGAAGGGTCTAACAGTTCTCAGAGCTGACATGAACAAGAGGACAGGTTGTGCATTTACGAAGAGGGGAGAAATGATATGTGGGATTGCTTTTCATATTGTTATCAAATAAGGTGTTTCGTTCGGTCAAAATAGCCATGTTTAACCTGAAATACAGCTATCCACATAGGCTTACATTCATTTAATGAATTCAGCTAATTTTTAAGAATATGCAGGATCTAGCATAATGTCTAGTTTTTAAGACAAAGTGAAACATTTCAGTTAGCTGTCAGATGTTTCTAGAACTTCAGTCTTATCTCCCCCTTACCTTTCTAGGGCGTGCTTATGTCAGAAATCAAATTTATCATTTTGCAATAAATTCAGACTTAGCTTCAAAAAACTAATTTTGTTCATTGTATTTGTAACTTTAAATAAGTCACTTATGAATATGTATGCCTTCAGCACAGATCACTGATGGACGTTATTTTAGCATTTTTTTTAAGTAATTCCTTTACAAGAATTGAAGACAAAATCTTCTTATATAAGCAGAAGGAGAACAAGTTTTACATAAACAGGGCCGAGGCAGATGATGTTTCAGTTAGTATATGGTGAAATTTTTATTTTTGGAGACTTCTTCTAGGCTAATTGAAAGAAACAGCAGTTGCTTTGTTATCCAAAGGTAGTAATTGTATCTCTTATTCTTGTCAAGCATTCATACCAAAAGTGAAGCTTACCCTAGGAGTTATCTTATTTCATTATCAGAAGTAACACTTTCAGTAGTAGGTGTATAGCAGCTGTATATGGCAAAACTACTCATATAACTATCGCATAGTTCCCTCTAGCAGCTGCATATAGTTAGGTAAGCTGCTTTAGACAGAAACTGAGAGAGGAAAAACATAAGCCGATTAGGGTTTTACCAAATGGACAGAAGGAAAGCAACTGAGCCTTGAGACATGCAGTAGAGGAGAGTCAATGTGGCGGTGAAGAATTAAAAAAGATACTCTTTGAGTTCATTAAACATCAATATTTAGTAATTCATCATGGAGCAGGCTGTTGAAAACTTGCGAAGTGCTGCAGACAGAAAATCAGGGGTTATTCTGAAGCGTATGTTGAGAGGTTGCTTTCTATATCAAAAGTAGAAGAATTGATGAAGTTTTTTTTTTTGTGACAGATTTGTCTTGATCATAGAAAATTCTGTCTAATAGTATACAAGTTCTAATAGAAGAAATATTGTTTAATACAA